AAAAAAAAGACTAACGCAGTGATTCAACAATAAATGGTACGACTATACAAGAATTTGGAACATGTACTAAAAACCTTGAAAATGTATCCCGGATGATCTAGTTTCAAAATGTTCAAAACTGGGAAGTTGAATGGAATGGGAGGAATTACAATGCCAAAGAAAAAATTAAGATGAACTGCAAATGCGGAAGTCCCATTTAGTTTCATTTCATCTTTGCACGTTAACACGTTAGAAAATACAGAATACCCAAAAACATTTAGAAAAGAACAAACGTACTCCTCCAACGTGTGCATCTTGGACCCAAATGTGATATCACTTCGGTCAGTCGCCTCTCGAAAAACTTCAAGTCTAAAAGTTAAGAGTAATGATTGGTGAGAATGGTGATTTCATTTTTTCCAACTCAACAGGATTTATGATTGGAACAAGCATGATCACTTTTGCAAAAGCTAGCATTTCAATGCAAACAAAATTGAATTTCTCTCTGCTTTATCATGATGGCCTATGCATGTTTCTGGCCATACTTGATCCATAGGTATTGTAAGGGTCACCAAAATACAAACAAAGTGGTAAACCATATCTATACAACTTAATCCCAACAAAAATAAATCAAATAATAAGGTACATAGGTCAATCCGTAACTAGCCACTTTAGAGCCTAGCTTACCATATTCTTGATCATATCGATCTTAAGTACGCAGGGTAAAAAAATAAACTTGAAGACTGCTTTATTCTAAGAACAAACCTTCACATGCGGTAGCCGCATCATCCATATCAAATCCGTTTCGCGGTAACGTGTTGAAACACACTTTCGTGCAATTGTATCCCAAAATGATGTCTATTTGAGGGCAAAACTAGTACAGTCATTTTCAGAGAAGAACCTTTGTGGAATCTAACCACTAATGCCGATAGCGATTTCGATAAAATCTTTATCTTCAACAACATGTACATTTCCACATATGGAAATATAACAAGAAACAGCAACAAGAGGGAATGCAAGCCCACATAAACAACAAAGAAGTGGTGGAATTGGCAGTATTGTGACCTAATGAAATGGGTGGTCATTGTTGATGTTTTACTTTATGCTTCTTCTGCAGTTTTCGCCACCACTGATTACTCTTATTTGCTTTAGTATTCTTTGAGCCAAAGTCAACAACTCCGGATGATTTCTGCAAGATGAAATAACCTATAAATCCAACAAAAAAGTTGAAGTTACATACCGATATTTCTCCCGCTGCTTGGACGATCGACTTTCCAGTCAGGCGCTGCTTTTTCGCATGTTTTTTGCCAGCACGAACTCCTCGAGCTCGTTTTCCGGTTTCCGACATATTTTCCTCTGCTTTCTTCCTCTGGAAAGACACGATGCGGCTCAGTATTTAAAAAACCGATGTAACCTTCCAACCCACCTCCTTCTCCTCCTCGTCGGAGTGCATGGCATCAAGATCCTCTTCCAGATCACTAACCCCGGAGAGATCACTGAGACCGGAACAAAGTGAACCGACATCAGTCAACTCGTCGTCCTAGATTATTTTCATCTTAGAACTTAGAAGTTAAAAGTTTAAAGTTAGAGAATGAGTCTGGAATATTTCAGGAAACGCTGTCAAAATCAAAAGGCTCTCATAATTACGGTTTACAAGTTCCAAAACACATAAGAGAAAGTTAGGCAATAAACCTATGATGTTTTTGGGTAAGCACACACACCTCATCCATTTCCTCGACGTTATTGCTATCTTCTTGCTTACTCGAAATACCTTCTTCACCGTCGTCCTCATTCGCGTCACCAGTTTCGCTATCTGCTCCAACTACGACATCCGCATCATCCACACATGTTTCAGTTATGGGAGCCTTAATCAGAGATTATGGAACATTATACAAAGAAGCGAGAAGCGACTGATAACAACCTCATTATAATCCTTCTTAGCCCGCTCCTGACAGCCAGGTGGAACAACAAAATATGGTAGTTTACCACGTTGAAAATCATTCAGTACAGCTTTTGCTACGGCAGTAATATCAGGTTCTCCACCCTGAAGTTAACGTTTATTTTTGAAGAACCTATTAGTATGGAAACGCACCTTCAAAAGACGACCTTGCTTTACCGCGACTTTTGTCATAAAATCCTCTGCATCAGTCCAATCTTCAATTCCATACTGTTTTTTCAAATGTTCAGGCTTTACACGGTCAAGCACTCCCTGTACGTGATTTTCCGGGTCTTTCACATTTTCAACGCGAACCTAAAGAAAGATAAAATAATTCAAAGTGATACTGCAGAAAATGACAGTTTCACAAAGAATACAACTTACAACTCCTTTGAGAATGATCTGTGTTTCCGAGTCGCCTTGCGGGTACACCACTCCCGGACAATCTATCATATAAATCCTTCGCATAAGCATGACATATTGCCATACCTACAAGGATCGCAAGCATCAAAAGTCGTTAAGCATAACGAAGGAACTAAGAGATATAAGAAATATAGAAGAAACAACAAAAG